TGTGGCTTCCAAAAAGCAAGCATGTGAGCCGAAAGGCAGGCAAAAAGAATTTTGGAGAGCATAAGAAAAACAGAGGACTCTGTTTTGGTGTTACTTGGTCGTGTTGGAGTGTGGTTCATACTCCCCATCGACAGGAAGGCACGGGGGTCCCACTCCCCTGTGAGCGGGCGAGGGTCGCGGGAGTAGCAATCCCGATCTGCTAGAGGGCTTTTTAGTTTGAGTCCAAAAAAGAAAAGTTTTCTAATTCAATTAGGTTTCCTTTTTTGAATAGGTTTCCAAGAAAGAGGTTTCCTATTTTGAATAGATTTCCTACTTAAATGGTTTCCTAATTGGAGTAGGTTTCCTAATTAGAGTAGGTTTATTATTTTGAATCAAACTATTGCCTATATAGAGTCTCTTTCTCTTATAATTAAGAGATGTAACAGAGAGATACGAGTTGTTAATTATAGTGGAATCCTCTGATAGACGTAGCCCTAGTTTAAGGGTGAACCGGGATAAAAACCTTGTGTCTCGATTCTATTTCTCATTTTTTACTCTCGATTTCGTTATGATTGTGCGCTGAATCTTAACATCTGGTATCAGAGCAAGGTTTGAGGTTAGGGTTTCTTGGTGAAGAGAGATCTGAAAAATCGAATCTTGGGAAGATGTTGTCGGCCGGTCAATCACAGATTGAAGTAGAGAAGTTTGGAGGAAAGTGTTTTGAGTTATGGAAATTAAAGATGGAGACTTTGCTCATGGACAGAGATCTATGGCACGTGATCGAAGAAGATAAACCCAAGGAAAAATCCAAGGAGAAGGTAAAGGAGGCCGAGTCCATGTCTGATGAATTGAAGGCGTGGAATAGCAGTGGTCAGAGGACGTGAAGCCTAATTTGGCTATGCCTTGCAGGTAGCGTCCTGGTGAATGTGACCTTTGAGAAGAAGGCGAAGGATCTTTCGATGAAGCTGGAAAATCTTTATCATAGTAAATCGCTCGTGAACAAACTCTTTCTACGAAAGTGACTATACAACCTACGGATGAGAGAAGGTGATTCTTTTTTTGCACACTTAAACGAGTTTGATACTATTTGTGGGCAACTTGTATCGATCGATGTCAATTCGGATGAGGAAGATAAAGTGTGTATTTTGTTGTGTTCATTGCTGAATTCATGGGAACATATAATTATTTCGATTGGCACTGGTATTAGTGCATTATCTTTTGAGGGCGTTGTAGCTGCTCTATTATATGAGGAGATTAGGAGAGATGGTTTTGATAGTGCAATGCAAGAGGCTCTTTTCGTAAGGGGAAGGAATAGTGAACGATCCAATCCAGATTTGGTGGCAGGAATAAATCCAGAAGAAGATCTAAAAGGAGAGATCGATTGAAAATAACGTGTTGGAAGTGCAAAAAGCCTAGACACTTGAAAAAATATTGCAGAAGCAAAAGTATAGGTCCAGATAAATGAGATGAGGCATCATCCTCTAGTACAAAGAAAAATGATGACAACATCAAGGGAGACATGTATCTCGTATGCAATTCATTATAGGGTGACTGCAATGCATGGATAATTGATACTGGAGGGTCTTTTAACTTGACGCCTCATAGAGATTGGTTCTGCTGTTACGAACCATATCAGGAAGGTACAATGCGAATAGGGGATGACACGATGCTTGATATTGTTGGTCGCAGAAAGGTGATGCTGAAGATGAAAGATGGGACAATTAAAAATCTTTCGAATGTGATGCATATTCCTGGTCTTACCAGGAATGTTATTTCTATGGGAACTATGGTAGATGCTGGCATTACCTTTACTAGCGATAAATATTCATGCAAGCTAACCTGTGGATCTATGGTAATCGCCAGAGGCAAACGATATGAAAAATTGTGGAAGTTATTGGAAAGCACGGTAATCAGCGCTGAGAGTTATATCTCAGAACAGGTGGAAGAAGGACTTTCGATGCTATGGCATCGAAGATTGGGTCACATCTGTGAGAAAAGGGCTGATGACCCTTACCTCAAAGAAGATGGTGGATGGTGTGACATCCACGATTTTGGCTAAACGGAATGATTATAGAACTGGCGTGCAGATTATGGGAGAAATCGGCCATGGACCAATCCAACGATAAGTCATGGATTGATCAACCCAATCGGAAGGGTAACCAAGGGTTCAGCCATGGTCTGATCAAAATATCGGCCCTGAAATGATCAAGGGATCGGCAATGAATCAATCAAATGACCATACAAGTGACTCGAGCTATTCGGCCATGGATAGGCTTCTCGACTATAAGGGTTGGTCGTACGACGGTTTTGTACCCTCATGGATCGATGAACGATCATGGATCGATTCTGTGAGGTCTTATTCCGGTTGCAGGTAGTTTCGCACGGTCATGTACTGACTGCGGACGACTATGGATCGATCCATGTGACCATGTATTGGTCATAGAACGATCGGTCCTACACAAGTACATGACAACCGAGGGTCGTTTATGGACCAAGTATGCTTGGCCATGACCGATCATGGACCGACTATGGGACACTTGGACGGGTCACGGATCAGTTGTGGATCCGTCTCGGATTGGTTCAACGACCTCGCCGAATGGGTCATGTACCTAAGCCGTGTGCTAGGCCACATGTCGGGCCATGAGCCGGCTATGTGCTTAACTTGGACACTTCCGTAAGGCCAAAGGCTAGCCCAAGCGCCAACCATGTGCCCATCCAACTTGTGGACGTTGCGGATGAGCCACGCCAGGTCGCACACGGGCCATGCGCTCAGTCTGCACGGGTCATGTGCCCGGTCTGTTCGACTAATGGCCTAGTCCTACGCCCATTCAAGCCTAGAATCGAGAGGACAGGCCTTGCGCCAAGCCATGGATGGGCCATGTGCCCGGTCTGCCAAGCCACGTGCCCGGTCAGTGTCAGCCATTGTGCCCACGCCATGGGCCACTGACCTAGTCATTTAAAATAAGTTTAGCCATGATGTGAAGACTGCATTCCTCCATGATGACTTGGAGGAGAATATTTACGTGAAACAACCAGAAGGGTTTGTGGTCAAAGGAATAGAAGATCTTGTTTGCAAACTAAACAAGTCTTTGTATGGCCTGAATCAATCTCCAAGAATGTGGTACTAGAAGTTTGACTCATATGTCTTGAAGCTTGGCTTTGTCCGTTATGATGCTGATAATTGTGTCTATGCGAAAATGTTAGATGAGGATTTTGTTATCTTAACCTTATATGTTGATGATATGTTGCTAGTTAGAAATAGTTTGAAAATGATTAGCACCATGAAAGGATTGTTGGCAAAACTATTTGAGATGAAAGATCTAGGCCCAAGCAAACTTCATCTTGGGCATGTGGATTAAAAGAGAACTTGAGAATGGGAAATTGTGGCTAAGTCAAAAGAAATATGTTGAAAGTGTGTTGAAAAAGTTCAACATGGCTAACTGTAAAATCGTGAAAACCCCCATGTCAACAAGTTCCAAGTTATCAGCGCTCCAGTGTCCTAAGACTGAAGAGGAAACTAAAGAGATGACAATAGTTCCATATGCAAGCGCAATTGGGAGCTTAATGTATGCCATGGTATGTACTCGTCCAGATATTATTGTTCAAGCAGTGGGAGTATTGAGCAGATATATGTCCAATCCAGGGAAAGAGCATTGGATGGCAGTAAAGCGGGTGCTTTATTACCTTCGCAGTACATATGATCTTGAGCTATGTTATGAAGGCATGAAAAGCTCAAAGGGACAGCAAGCGTTAGAACTAAAGTGTTTTGTGGATGCTGATTGGGGAGGTGACATTGATAGAATAAGGTCAACTAGCGGATATGTTATTTTCTTATTCGGTGGAGCTGTGAGTTGGATGAGTGATATATTAGGAGGCCAGGCCATCATCACATAGTCAGCTTGGCTAGTGCTATCAAAGCAAGTACAACCTTCGGTAGAAAAATTGTGATTCCAGATGAATCGAGATTGGTCTAAAAAAGGCAAGGATCGGAATAATTGCAAATGGTAAGAGGGCACAAACAAAATATGGCTCTCCTAACTATTTTTACATAGGTTCACCTTCTTTTGATTTCTCGCATATTATTATTTCTTTAGAATTTTATTTCTATGTCACATAGGAAAATAGGATGTCTTTGGAGTAATTAAGAGCAGTTATAGCATATACTAATGTCAAGAAAATTTTATAACAAGCTGTATTATCCATTCTTGATTTGAAGGTTCTTACTATCACTCTCCCACTATCAGATCGGGAATGGATAAGGCCGTATATGGAAAATTATCCCTCAACAAAGTTCGGGACAATGCTCTGACAGTTCGACAGCGGTGCATTGAATCAACATGTTTGCCGATATTCAAAGCATAAGTTGAACCTAATAGTTGATAAGCTTGAGCACCGGCAGTCATGATTCTGAGATGACTATCATTCTTAAAAATCCGTGTGAGAAGATTGTCCCTAAGCTTCACGTTTATAAGTGAATTCAAATAGAAAAATAATAACATAAAACTTAATTATCATTTCTCAAAATAATGCATTTATTTCAATGTGCCAAACCGATGGACTTAGCTCTCCCAAAGCAAATCCAATACAACATGCCCCGAAAGAAAAGATTACTGAAAAATCCTCACACAATGTTTTCTAGAAAACAAAAGGTCTAATTAGAATGCACATCAAGCATAAGCATCGGGATTGGCAGAGAGGTACTCCTCGACGACCTTGTACAACCCCATAGCCTTTTCTTTACCTTGTTTAATGTCCTCTTCCTTAAGATCACAAGTGTCGTCACACCATCGAGGCTGTTCAAGGCTATGTTCCTTGACTCCCACCATATCCTACCCAAGATTGTTCCCGAGGGCATCAAGAGCGTTGACTTCATCGAGGGAGACGGCGGAGTTGGTAGCATCAAGCAAACCAACTTCGGTGAAAGTAAGTCAAATCATACTCGTACTTCCACCATGTCAGGTCTATATAGAGATCTCGGAATTAACAATTAACTTCTTTGCTTTAATGAATTTACATAACAGGCTCCCATATTATGTACACAAAGCACAAGATTGATGCTCTCCACTCAAGTAGCTTTTACTGCAAATATACCATGATCAAAAGCGATATAAAGTTCGACAAGATCGACTCTGTTGTGGAAGAAGTGAAATTCATCGCAGCTGGCAGCGGATGTGTCTGCAAGATGACCAGCGAGTACCACGTTCATGAAAGTTGTGAGCTCAAGGAAGAGGACATCAAGAAGGGTAAAGACATAGCCCTGGAACTGTTCAAGGCTGTTGAGGAGTACCTCGTGGCCAACCCCGATGTTTGCGCCTAAATGCTTTTCTCAAGATCCTTTCCGAGCGATGATAGAGTAAAGTGAGTGGAAAGTTTGTATTGTATCTTCTGTTTTCCCTTTGGCTCTGCCTCGGAACTTTTGGGTGAGGAAAGGTTTTTTATCGTGTGTTTTGGCATGTTATAATGGGTTTGAAGGTTCTGGGTAAGGTCATGCCAAACAATAAAAATTGAAGGAGCAATGAGCAATCCGATAAATTATGGATTTTGCCCAAGAAAAGATCTCGCTTTGTGGTCGTGAAGGTGAATTTTCACTTGACCTATAGATGAGTTGCATAAAGAAGAGATGGAGGGCAAAATGAAGCGCAAGGGAAAATTGGGCATTTCATTATACTTTTTTAAAATAAGTGCATTGTAAGTCTTAAAACAAGTCGCGAAAATGCAATTGAGTGCTAAAATTTATAGAGAAGTGCTAAAATAAAAAAGAGATGGAGGGCAGGCGGTCGGCGAGCTGGGCGAGTGGCTGGGCAGGCCGGCGAGCGACCTGGCCGGCTAGTTGGGCGGCTCGGCCAGGCGGGCAGGAGAGCGGCCGGCGAGCTGTGCTGCACGGCGATGAGCGACGGTGGCAGCGACGATGGTGGGGACGGGCAGCCGGGTCGGGGGATGGGCGAGAGGGGAAGCTGGGGTGGTGGTGGCGAGCCGGCGGCGGTTGGGGCAGCACGGTGGCGTCACAGGCGGCTGGGCGAGGCCAGACGGGCTGGCTGGCGGCTCGGCTGAGCCGGGCCGCGGCGGCAAGCTTGCTGCTCGCGTGCAAAGGGGAAGGGGAATAGCCGGGTCGGGGGAGTCGGATGGACGGACGGCGGCCCTGGCAGCGACGGATGACCGGACGGCGACATAATGCGGTCAGGCGAACGGCGTGCGGCGGTCGGCAGAGGGGAGAAGGAACAGGGCGAGGGAGGAAGAAGAAGAAAAGAAGAAAGAAGAAGAAGAAAAAGAAAAAAAAGGACGAGAGAGAGAGGTTTGCATGGGGAAGGGGAAGGAAGGGACGTGATCGGGCAGAGGGAGAGAGACAGAGAGAAAGTCAAACACAATCGAGTGCGATCCGATGGCCCACATTTGAACTCGAAGTCGATCCAACGGTCCACGAAAAATCTTAATTATAATTTAGGATTTGGTCAAAAGACACTAAATAAAACACACTACGAGGGAGGTCTACTAGTCTAAATCCGCACCCGGTCCAAATTTCACTTTTCAACAATTCTGGGCAATATCGACGCTTGCCACAATAATATCGACATCGTCCAATTAAATTCGTCACGAAACTCCGAGAAATTCGACAACCAAATTTGGGCTCTAAATAACAGCCAAATTCGATCGAGTGCGATTTTAGCGAAACCTCTAATTTAAAAATAACTCAAGAGTAATCAGTTCCAAGCGAGATTTTACTATAAACACATTGATGAAAATACACATTTTATAAATCCCAAAAATTGGTCGAAATTCGGAATGTCACACTCAATCTTGCACTCGCTCACTCTGCACTCTCATTTCAGCTTGGGTATGAATTTTTCTATATTTAATTCAATATGGAAGTGTTTTAGCAATATGGGTCTGATCGGGTATGGGTTGGATCGGATATGGATTAAGAAAATTGCATTGCGCATAAATGGGTCATAAACGGGTTAATGGGTCAATTTGGGTTGGACCATTTATGACCTGACCCAAATCCGACCCGACCCACTCATTTGACAAGTCTAATCATAAGTGTCGTCGCACCGTCGAGGCTGTTCAAGGCTATGATCCTTGACTCACACAATGTCCTGCCCATGATTGTTCCCGAGGGCATCAAGAGCGTTGAGTTCATCGAGGGAGATGGCGGAGTTGGTAGCATCAAGAAAACCAACTTTGGTGAAAGTAAGTTGGATCACACTCGTACTTCTACCATGTCAAGTCTATATATAGACCTCGGAATTAAGAACTTCCTAACTTTAATGAATTTACATAACATGCTCCTACATCAAGTACACGAAGCACAAGATCGATGCTCTCGACGCAGGTAGCTTTTACTGCAAATATACCATGATCGAAAGCGATATCAAGTTCGACAAGATCGACTGTGTCATGGAAGAAGTGAAATTCATCGCAACTGACAGCGGATGTGTCTGCAAGATGACCAGCGTGTACCACGTCAAGGAAGGTTGTGAGCTCAAGGAGGAGGACATCAAGAAAGGTAAAGACAGAGCTATCGGACTGTTCAAGGCTGTTGAGGAGTACCTCGTGGCCAACCCCGATGTTTGCGCCTAAATGCTTTTCTCAAGATCCTTTCTAAGTGATGATAGAGTAAAATGAGTGGAAAGTTTGTATTGTGTCTTCTGTTTTCCCTTTGGCTCTGCCTCGGAGCTTCTGGGTGACGAAATGTTTTTATCGTGCGATTTCTATGTTATAAAGGGGTTTGATGGTTGTGTGTAAGGCCATGCAAAAAAATATAACTTGAAGGAGCAACGAGCAATCCAATAAATTATGGATTTTTCCCAAGAAAAGATCTCCCTTTGTGGTCATGAAGGTGAATTTTTACTCGACTTATGGATGAGTTTGCATAAAGAGGAGATAGAGGGCACAATGAAGTGCAAGGGAAAATTGGGCATTTCATTGCACTTTTCCTAAGCGAGATAGATTTGTCATCAGACAATAATTCTATACTCTGGCAATCCAGAAAGTAAAAGAAGTGGCAGTGAATCACTTCGCTTTTGATGAGAATACACCGGGAACCTGTTCTTTTTTTATCCAATTTGATTTATAAAAATAAAAATTTTCCACTAACTGTATTCATCATAATTATGCAACTTAATATTTATTAATTAAGCTATAGTGCGCTTCTTTGAAAATCACGGAAAGCAAGCATTGTTTTCCAAATAAAATGGAGAAAATTTGAATAGCAAAAAAGAAAAGAAAAGGTGGAAAAATATTTAAAAAAAAGAAAAAGAACGGTCATAATAGAGACATTTGTCTATGTGAGTTAATCCAAGTAGGAAGGTTGAATACTCCAAGGGCAAAGACCCTTTTGCTAGATGACATCAATTAAGATATTGCAATCAATTTCAAAAATTGCTTTTCGGATGTCAGGGACTGAGCATAATTGCAAGCAAGAAGAAGAGTTGCTGCTTACACTTCCTTCGGCGAGTTTCCTACATTCTCTTCTTTTCCAAGCTGGGACTATCGAGTCGCTAGCCGATCGTGTTATAATATCTATGGCTTCTTTGTTATCTTTTCATGCACCATCTACATTAAATTTTAGCCTTTGATCTGATGGTGGGAATCGGAGTCTGTCCTTTCCCCAAGAGAATCGGTTCCTAAACTTATTTCCGTGACTGTCCTCGATAGCACACCGAACGAACATAGAATTTTAACTTAGCAATGGTGGTCATGGTTGTCTGGTATCAAGCCTAAAATTTCTGTCTAAATCAGTTCATGATATAAAAAATTCAATTTTCTTTTCGAAAAGATTGTATGCAGGCAATTTGGAGCTGAAAAACGGATTAACTTATCTAGATTCACCTATTTTACGCTTCGGTTCCGACGAAAACAGATGATTCACATTATGACCAAAATATCCTATTCGAATTGCGTTTTTCTAGAGAGGTGGTATCCCAAGTTTAGACTATAGTCATTTGGGTTTGATGACGTGGCTATAATGGCCTATGAAAAGTCAAACTAGCAAAATTTCCTTTCGATACGAAGCGTAAATTTCGTGTCTACATCAATTCTAAATTAAAAAAAAAATTCAATATTTCTTTTCGGAAGGATCGTGTCTATTCAAATTGGAGCAACAAGGGATTGACTTATCTAAACTCGTCCATTTCACGCTATGATTCTGGTGGAGTCGGAGGACTATGGTCTAGTAGTACTAACCAAATGGACTTGCCTATAAGTACCAAGTAGTTCTTTTCATCATCTTCATCAGCTCAACTCTTCTCCATTAGCAATCACACCAAACCCGTCCACTACCCTTCTTGAGTTCAGTTCTCTTCATTTCTTACTAGGCCAACATGGGAGTCATCACCTTCTCGCAGGAGATCACAAATGTCGTCGCACCATAGAGGATGTTCAAGGCTTTGGTCCTTGACTCACACAATGTCCTGCCCAAGATTGTTCCCAGTGGCATCAGGAGCGTCGAGTTTATCGAGGGAGATGGTGGAGTTGGTAGCATTAAGAAAACCAACTTTGGTGAAAGTAAGTCGGATCATACTTGTACTTCTACTATGTCAAGTCTATAAGGGCCCGTTTGGTAACGTGCCAAATAGTGAAAATTTCTGTTCTTTTGTTCCCAAAAATAGTTTGGGAACAGAAATGCGTTTGGTAAACTTTTTGTTCCTCGGCACATTTTTGCAAAAATTTGTGCCGAGAAACGGTTTTGGAAGAGAAATAAGAAGTAAAAAAAAGTTGCTTCTTGTTTCTCGGCACAATTTTGAGAATCAGTTTTTTTTCTTCTTTTTCTTTTTTTTCTTTTCTTATTTTGTGGTGTTGTTCTTGGCTGAGCCGGCGGCCGGCGACCGGCGGCCGGCGACCGCGACCGACCACAGCCCGGGGCCGGCGAGGGCGTCACGGCCCTCGCCGGCCGCCGGCGGAGGCGAGGGTCGCCCTCGCCGGCGAGGGCGAGGCGGCCTTGCCCCAGATCGAGCGAGGCCGAGCCTCGCCGTCGGTCGCGATGGCGAGGTCGGCCTCGCCCGGAGACGGCGAGGCTCGGCCTCGCGGAGGCGGGCGAGGCCGAGCCTCGCCGTCGCGACCCATCTGCGAGGTCGGCTCGCCGTGGGTCGCGACGGCGAGGCTCGGCCTCGCCAGATCCGGGCGAGGCCGAGCGTCGTCGTCGCGACCGACGGCGAAGCCGACCTCGCCGTGGGTCGCGACGGCGAGGCTCGGCCTCGCCCGGCTCGGCGAGGCTCGGCCTCGCCCGGCTCGGCGAGGCCGAGCCTCGCCGTCTCTGGGCGAGGCCGCCTCGCCCAGGCGGCGAGGGTCCAGCCCTCGCCCTCGCCTCCGCCGGCGGCCGGCCATGGCCAAAGAAGAAAGTAAAAAGAAAAAAAAAATTTAAACAATTCAAAATATTATTAAAATATTATTTTGGAACAGAAATTTTGTGTAGTTACCAAACGCATTTCTGTTCTTTTCTACTCTAGGAATAGAAATTTTGGACATTTATCAAACGCCTTCAAATACTCAGAAATTGTTTCCGGGCACAGAATAAAAAAAAATCATTTCTGTTCAGAAATAGCGCCCGGGCACAGAATGGTATTCATGCACACCCTAAATAGACCTCAGAATTAAGAAATAACTTTTTTGCTTCAATGAATTTACATAATAGGCTCCCACATCAAGTACACGAAGCACAAGATCGATGCTCTCGACTCAGGTAGCTTTTACTATAAATACACTTTCATCGAGAGTTAAGATCGACTGCGTCGTTTGCGAGATGAAATTCGTTGCAGCCGATGTTGGATGTGTCTACCAGATGACCAGTGAGTACCATGTTAAGGAAGGTTGTGAGCTCAAGCTCAAGGAGGAGGTCATCAAGCAGGCGAAAGAGAGAGCCATGGGATTGTTCAAGGCTGTTGAGGAGTACCTTGTGGCCAACCCCGATGTTTGCGCCTAAATGCTTTTCTCAAGATCCTTTCTGAGTGATGATATAGTGAAGTGAGTGGAAAGTTTGCATTGTATCTTCTGTTTTCCCTTTGGCTCTGCCTCGAAGCTTTTGGGTGAGGAAAGGTTTTTATTGTGTGATTCTGTGTTATAGGGTTTGATGGTTGTGTGTAAGGCCATGCCAAAAAATAAAACTTGAAGGAGCAATGAGCAATCCAATAAATTATGGATTTTGCCCAAGAAAAAATCTGCCTTTGTGGTCATGAAGGTGAATTTTCACTTGACTTAAGAATGAATTGCAAAAAGAAGAGAGAGAGAGGGGGCAAAATGAATTAATCTTATTCGATTAGCTAAAATAAAATTTTCCCCTAAATGTATTCATCGTAACTATGCAACTTAATATTGATGAATTAAGCTGTAGTGTGCTTCTTCGCTAATAATGGTAGTAAACATTGAGATTGTTTACCTAATTAAAACCATCCTGTCAAACAAGATGGAGAATATGTGGCCCAAAAAAAGATGAGAAAATTTGACTAGAAAAAAATAAGAAAAATAAAAGGTCGAAAAGTACTTTGCAAAATATTAAAAAAGTAAAAGAAGGGTCCCAAGAGAGACATTAGTCTTTGTGGGTTAATCCAAGTTTGAAGTACAGTCATTTCGATCCGATGACGTAGCTATCATGGCATTTGAAAAGTCAAACTAGCAAAATTGCCTTTTTGAAACAGAAGGAAAATAAATGGGATCCCCTTCGATTTCGCGACTGTCGTTCATAGCACGACGAACGAACGCAGAATTATACCAACCCTAAATTCTTGTATAAATCATTTCATAATTTAAAATATACAATTTTATTTTCGAAAAGGATCTCGTCTAGGCAAATCGAAGCCAAAAAGGGATTAACTTATCTAGGATCGCCAATTTTACGCTTAGGTTCTGGGGATTGTCGAAGCTTAACAGGCAGGCCAGTAACCCCACGATCACCTCTTTGTACAAAAATTAGTTATGAAAAGAATGTACATTTATAAGATATGTAGATGTTAAAGAATGACTATGGGAATGTCGTGGATTTCTTGTGCTTGAACTCAGACTTTTACCCTAGCAAAAATGTTTTTTTTGTTTAAGTTATAATTGCAAGCCAATATCCTGAATTTTACCAAACTATCTTACATCATTCACTTTTTCATTACGTTCAAACCACATGCTTCGCATTATGACTAAAACTTTCGTTATAAATTGCTTTTTCCGAGCGGTGATATTCCAAATATGAGTGTATTGTGATAGGCTCACAATGTCTGACCAAACATGTAGATTTCTTTTTTATAGAATGCATCACTTTAGGTTATTCTAATGACTTTAATGGCCAAATTTAAAAGAGTTTTGTTCGTGACCATGTCCTTTTACCTCACCGTGCAGTTGAGTGTTAGGTCCTCCAATAAAAAAAAGAGCTAAGGGCTTGAAAGTAATTTTGCGGTTCCATCCGGGACATGGTTTCGGTGGCATCCGGAGATTCCGTTCCATCCGGGACTTGCCTATAAGAACCAAGTGGCCCTCTTCATCATCTTCATCAGCACAGGCCTTCTTCGTTAGCAACCACACCAAATCCTTCGATTTCCTACTTGAGCTCATTTCTCTTTGTTTCTTACTAGGAAAACATGGGAGTCATCAACCACTAT